TGTGTGTGTGCGCGCGCGCGTGCCGTGCTGGCACTAGAACTCAGGGCCTGGGCCCAGTTCCTAAGCTTTTTGTTGTTGTTCAAGGGCTGGTACTCTACCACTTGAGCCACACCTCCACTTCCAGCTTTTTGTTGCTTCAGTTGGAGATGAGAATGTCATGGACTTTTCTGCTGGCTTGGCTTTGAACTTAGAACCTCAGATCTCAGCCTCCCTGCGGAGTGGGGATGACTGGCCTGAGCCACGAACACCTGGCTGATGCAGGTCAGGCGAAGGGACCTGGAGGAGTCCCAGCGGATGGTGAAATCCAATCCCCATGGGAGGGGCATGGACCAGACAGGCCAGGTGCCCAGGGAGGACCTGGAGTCCTGTCCTGCCAGTTTGCTCAAGGCTGGACTGGGGCAGGCAGAGACGCGCAGGGAGTCTTGCCCTGGTTGCCTGCACCCCAAGTCTGCAGCACCTCTGTTTTCTCACCAGACGCGGGCTCCAGCCACGCCGGCTTAGGTAAGGCGCTATTATTTGCCAGGTGATCTTGGAGACCATCACCCCTGGCCACTCAGTTTGGGATTCTGCAAATGTGTGCAGAGATGGTCACCCTTGGGCAGGGATGCAAATCACTCGTGATCGTTGCTGGGCAATGTAATGTGAACAGGCCAGATTTGAGGACCAGCGTTTGTGTGTGTGTGTGTGTGTATGTGTGTCTAGGTGCCAGTCTTGGGATTTGAACTCAGGGCCTGGACACTGTCCCTGAGCTTCTTGGGCTCAAAGCTAGCACTCTACCACTTGAGCCACAGTACTGCTTCTAGCTTTTTTGGGTAGCTTCTTGGAAATAAGAGTCTTATGGATTTTTTTTTTTTTCTGATCAAGGTGGCTTTGAACCAGGGGTCCTTAGATCTCAGCCTCATGAATAGCTAGGATGACAGATGTGAGCCACTGGCACCCAATGAGGACCAGCTGTGTATACATCTGTTATGTTCACAGAGACGGAGATCAGTGTGCATGTGTGCAGATGGAGAGGGTGGCTGTAGATGCTAATGAAGAGCTACGCTGTGCTTGCTACAGGATAGACCTGCTTCCCCTCCGCCCCCCCCCCCCACCGTGCTGTGTGTCTGTTTCTTTTTGTTTGCTGGCATTGGGGCTTGAACTCAGGACTTGGGGGGCTGCTGTCCCTTGGCTTTTTCACTCCAGGCTAGTGCTCTACCACTCGAGCCACACCTCCACTTCTGGCTTTTCTGGTGATTCACTGGAGATGAGCCTCACGGGCCTTCCTGTCTGGACTGCCTTCAAACCATGAACCACAGATCTCAGCCTCCTGAGTAGCTAGGATGACAGGTGTGAGCTCCCTTCACCAGCTGACCCATCTCTGTGCTCTTTCCAGCAGGTTCTGAAGAGATGGGGACTGCGGTCAATGGCGATGTGTTTCAGGTAAGGAGAGCCTACGGTGGCCGTGGTGGGACACACCAAGTAGGCCTCAGTGACTGACAGTTGGTATCCTGGGTCGCTTAGAGCTCCAAGAGCTACTCATTGAGCCTTGGGTTGGGAGTGTGGAGGAAGCTGGTGTTTTCTTGTCCTGTGAGGGGACACTGATGGGGAATAGCCTCAAGTTGTCTGGGGTGGTCTCTGGCTCCAGAGGGAGAGATGATGTTTGCCTACAATGGCCAACATGGCTCCTATTAAATGGGGTGAAGTAAGTGCAGAGCTCTGGGTAGAGCTGACCTGACTGGCACCGCCAGTGATGGTTATGCATGCCTTCTGATCCAGAGATTTTGATTTCATTTGTTTGTTTGCTTATATATTTTTTGATCGGTTGTGGGGCTTGAACTCAGGGCCTGGGCGCTGTCCCTCAGCTCTTCAGCTCAAGGTGAGCGCTCTACCACTTGAGCCACAGCCCCGCTTCCCATTTTCTGATGGTTCACTGGAGATCAGAGTCTCATGGACTTTCTTGCCTGGGCTGGCTTTGAACTGGGATCCTCAGATCTCAGCCTCCTGAGTAGCTAGGATTATAGGCATGAGCCACCAGCGCCTGGCTTTTATTTTATTTTTATTTTTGTGCCAATCCTGAGGCTTGAACTCAGGGCCTTGTCACTGCGCCTGAATTTCTTTGTTCAAGGCTGGTGCTTTACCAGTTGAGCCGCAGCTCCACTTCTGGCTTTTAACTGGTTCATGGGAGAGAACAGTTTCATGGTCTTTTCTGCCTGGGCTGGCTTTGAACTATGATCTTCAGATTTCAGCCTCCTGAATAGCTAGGATTACAGGCATGAGCCAGTAAATTTTATTTTTTAAGAACTTTTTTCTCCTCCCCCCTTCTCTCTCTCTCTCTCTCTCCTCATTTCTTCTCTTACCATTAGAGAGGCTTAAACTCAGGGCCTTCTGCTCTCTTAAATTTTTCACCCAAGGCTGGTGCTATACCATTTGAGCCACAGTTCCACTTCCAGGTTTTTTGCTGGTTAATCAGAGACAAGCGTCTCTTGGATTTATCCATCCAATCTGGCTTTGAACCATATGATCAATCCTCAGCTCTCAGCCTCCCGAGTAGTGGCACTCTGGGTTTTTGTCCCCAACACGATATTAAAAACAAAACAAGGGGCTTGGGACGGTGGCTTGTTGGTAGAGTGCTTGCCTAACATGCATGAAGCCTTGGATTCAGTTCCTCAGTACCATATACACAGAAAAAGCCAGAAGTGGCGCTGTGGCTCAAGTGGTAAAGCACTGGCTTTGAGCAAAAAGAAGCTCAGGGCAAATGCCCAGGCTCTGAGTTCAAGCCCCAGGAGTGACAAAACAAAACAAAAACCAACAACAGCAACAAAAAGAAAAAGCATACACTGAGCAAACCCAGAGCAATAATGACATCTCCAGTACCCCACAGATGCAGTGTTCTTAGCCTATGTGAGCCTTATTTCTCACCCAGTTTAGGTGGAAAACTCTAGATCCTTGGGGCTGCTGCATCTCTAGAGCCCCACCCTATGGAAGAGTTGGCCTCCAGGATCTTGGAGAGAATAAACAATGCATTCTTACGTAACTGGGATGGGCTGGTACCTTTCACTGGAAAACTGGCCAAGTCCCATTTCTGGAAAATTACTCAAGTATAAGCAAGCTAGGAAAGTCAACCTCTAAGATTTCATTCAGCAGCTTCCTGACCAGTTGAGCCCAACAAAGCCAAAGAATGAATGTTACTCTGTGTGTGTGTGTGTGTGTGTGTGTGTGTGTGTGTGTGTGTGTGTGTGTGCCAGTACTGAGGATTGAACTCAGGGTTTGGGCATCAAAGAGTCCAAGTTCCAGACTAGTGTGGTTACACATACCTGTAATCCCAGCACTGAGGAGACTGAGGAAGGAAGATTGTGAGTCGAAGACTAACCTAAACTACATAGCACTGTCCTTTTTTTCTTCCAGTCCTGGGGCTTGAACACAGGGTCTGAGCACTGTCCTGTCCCTGAGCTGCTTTTGCTCGAGGCTAGCACTCTGATCCATGGCGCCACTTCTGCTTTTTTCTGTTTATGTAGTATTGAGGAATCGAATCCAGAGCTTCATGCATGCTAAGCAAGCACTCTACCACTAAGCACATTCCTAGTCCAGGACACAGCCTTTTAAAAAAAAAACAACAAACAAACCAAAAGAGTGCTAGCCTTGAACACAAAAGTTCAGGGACAGTAAATAGGCCCCAAGTTCAAGCCCCATGACTGGTGCATATACACATACTCACAAAAACCGAAACCCAGTTGGGCACCGGTGGCTCATGCCTGTCATCCTAGCTACTCAGGAGGCTGAGACCTGAGGATCAAGGTTCAAAGCTAGGCAGGAAAAGTCTGTGAGACTTATCAATAAACCACTCAGAAAACCAGAAGTGGCGCTGTGGCTCAAGTGGTAGAGCGCTCACCTTGAGCTGAAGAGCTGAGGGACAGCGCCTAGGCCCAGAGTTCAAGCCCCGTGACCAACAACAACAACAAAAAAAAACCCCCAAAATCTCTGTCCTAAAGTAGACCTGGAGATATTCTTAGAATCACAGAAGTACCTAGAACACTGTCAGCAGGTTATTTTAATGTTTCCATTGATTAGGAACTTGAGACTCAGAGAGGCAAAATGACTTGTGCATTCACAAAGGAAATGAGTCATTTCTGGACTTTTCCTCCGTTGGTTAATTTGATTCCTCTGATTTCTCCTTCCTGCCCTCATCACCCGGCCCTACATAACAATTGCTAGATCGGGCAGGATCCCAGGACCCCTTCCTAGTCACAGATAATTCTCTTTGCTAGTAATATTGACTTCAGGACTGGACACAGGCAGTTCATGCCTGAGATCCTACAGAGGAGACAGATCTGGGGATTGAAGTTCTAAAGCCAGCTTGGGCAGGAAAGTCTGTGAGACTCTTATCACCAATTAGTTACCAAAAGAGCCAGAAGTGAAATTGTGGCTTATGTGGTAGAATGCTAGCCTTGGAATAGCACCCAAGCTCTGAAATTCAAGCCCCAGGACTGGCAATAAACAAACAAATAAATGTATATGTGTATACACACACACACACACACACACACACACATTATGACTTCAGGCATACTTCTTTTTGTGTATGTGTTTGCCAGTCCTAGGGCTTGAACTCAGGGCATCAAACTCTCACTGTACTGCTTTTTTTTACTCATGGCTGGTGCTCTACTCCTTGAACCACACTCCAATTCCAGCTTTTATTTTATTTTTTACTGGTTGATTGGAGATTGGAGTCTCTAGGATTTATCTACCTGGACTGGCTTTGAATCAGGATTCTCAGATCTCAGCCTCCTGAGGAGTTAGATTATGGGTGTAAGCCACCAGACCAGGCTCCTGGGCAGTTTTTGTGCTTCAGTCTTTTCTAGCAGCCTGTGTGCCACTGGGATGATCCAACTACAAATTTTATCCACCCTGTCCCCCCCACCCCAAAAAAAAAAGTAGCCTGAGAATAAGTTGATCCACACTTATTCCAAATCCATTAGGCCCTGACTAGGGTAGGGACAGAGATAGCACGCCCCCTGCTGGACACTTCCCCTGATTCTCAGGCCCCCTGCATAATTCTCTTGTTTTCTCACAGGCTCCCAACGTCCCCTGAGCTGCTTAGAGGAATCAACAGCTCAGCCTGGCTTAGCCTGAGCTAGTCAACCTGGAGGGGAGGGGGGGAGGGGGGATTAATCCTGCCGGCTGTCCCTGGCACCATAGTACACGCTTGGCCAACATGATCTAAGGTGTGTGTGTGGGGGGGAGGAGGGGTGGCTCTGTAGGTCATGGCCAGCCCAGAGGCTCTCAGAAGCTGACCCAGAAAACTGGGCCAACATTACCTGGTCCTGGTTGGCCTTCTGAGTCACAAAAGCCATGCCATCCCGCACATAGGCTTATTTGTGAGTTCCGTGGGCTGCCACTTCTTGCGATTCCCTGCTATGTTCCTGGAGTGGAATATAATCATTACTCTCATTGGCCATGCTTGACATGCAAACTGCCAAGGAAAAGACTTTCTCAACTCTTTTCGTCCAGGGAGTGGTAAAATAGGGACTTAAAGCCCAATCCACTACCTCCAAAATGCCAGAAGTGGAGATGTGGCTCAAAGGGTAGAATGCTAGCCTTGAGCACAAAAGCTCAGGGTCAACACCTGGGCCCAGAGTTCAAGCCCCAGGACCACAGGTTAGGGAGAGAAGAAGCGCCACGGTGTGGAGTAGCTCAGTAGTGCAGTTCTTTCCTAGCATGGACAAGGTCCCAGGTTCCATTCCCAAGTCAAACAATTTGGGTCCATATTGTTTACTCTGTAGTGAGGATATTCGTACCCAGTCATTCCCTTGGAATCCTGGCTCTGCTTCTTGTTGGCCAAGTGACCTTGGCACTCAGGAAGTAGAGTTTCTCTATCTATAAAACAAGAGTAATAAAAGTCTCCGTGTAAGAATTATAAAGATCAAAGACACTTACCTATTTAATTGTAAGTGCCATCATAATTTCAGGTCAGGCAGGCTTCCTGGAGAGGGTAAACATTAGGACACAGTACACAGAAAGCTGTTTCCCAGCCAACTTCTTCCACCCTGTCTCCTCCCCTCTCTGGTGGCATCTATACGTAAAGGGCTTTCCAGCCAGATGCTGGTGGCTCACACATATAATCCTAGCTACTCAGGAGGCTGAAATCTGAGGATTGCCAGTCCGGACAGGAAAGTCGCTGAGACCCTTATCTCCAATTATTCACAGAAAAAGCAGGAAGTAGTTGAGTGTCAGTGGCTCACACCTGTCATCCTATCTACTCAGGAGGCTGAGATCTGAGGATCACGGTTCAAAGCCAGCCCAGGCAGGAAAGTCCGTGAGACTCTTATCTTCAATGAACCGCCAGAAAACTGGAAGTGGTGCTGTAGCTCAAGTGGTAGAGCACTAACCTTGAGCTTAAGGACAGTGCCCAGGCCAAGCGTTCAAGGCCCGGGCCTGGCAAAAATAAATAAATAAATGCTTCCCAGGCTGGGCTCCACTGGTTCACACCTGTAATCCTAGCTACTCAGGAGGCTGAGATCTGAGGATCATCTTCTACTCTGAATCCAGCCCAGGCTTCTGGGGTGTACTTTGGCTGGCAGAGGAAAGACAAAAGGTACAGCTACAGGGGAGCAAGAGATCATCTGCGACTGTCACGTTGTCCTGCTGTGGGAGGCGTCTTGGTTCCCCAGCAGGAGGTAGTGGACCGCAGGGCAGGTGTGACTGACCGGGCGCACTGTGTATTTATGTCCTAGGAGGCTAATGGCCCTGCAGATGGCTATGCTGCAATTGCCCAGGCGGACCGACTGACTCAAGAGCCAGAGAGCATCCGCAAATGGAGGGAGGAACAGAAGAAACGCCTGCAAGAGCTGGGTGAGGGCGGGGATACTGGCTGTGCTGGGAGTGGGCGGGGCTGGTGAGAGCCGGCGTCACGGGTTGGCTGGTGTGCTGGGAGTAGGAGGGGCTGGTGAGAGCCGGCGTCACGGGTTGGCTGGTGTGCTGGG